CGTAGGACGAAGCCATGGGATTGGTGTTGAGCGCTGCATCGGTCAGAGGCTGGACGACCGGTTCCGGTATGGAAGGACCGTCTCTTCCGGCAAAGTCCGATAAGGAGACTGTATCAACATTTCCATGGTCACTATTCACGAAATCGCCTCGTAGGCGTATGCGTGTTGCCTTCACTTGCAACGTCTGTGGCCAGAGAACGACTCGAGCCATTAACGCTCATGCTTACACTGACGGTACTGTCTTCGTCCAGGTAACTTTTTAACACATTTGCTTTGCTTTGTGGCTCGAGAGAAAGATGAACAACATGGTGTGATTCAATGGATTTTTATTGGTGTTGCAGTGCTGCGGATGCAATGTGTTCCATAAGCTGGTGGATAATCTCAATTTGTTTCATGAGGTCAAGTATTATGTGAGCTCGAGCTTCGATTACAGAGATGCTAAGTGGGATGTTGGAGGATTCAATCTCTTCGACGACATGAATGAGGAGGATGATAATGATGTCGGTGACGGCAAAAACCTCTTCCCTTTGTAATGAGGTTTGGACTTGTCATTGATACTCTCTGTACAATCGTCCGATTATCCACCGTCTCATTTCTGTATATAGATAGTTCATATCCTACCATCTTAGTATGAATAACAACATTTGATGTCGATGTCTTTCGGAAGATAAATGAGTCGGTCCGTGTTCTGAATTTCTCGAGAGGGTAGATTTTGGACTCGAGACTGCTACCATTGTTATTCCAATTGGGGACTTACTTCTGTAGTGATAAGTGTATAACACTGTATTAGAGCGGTTGGATGCTGTTTTCAGCTAGGGGAATCGATTGAAATTCAGTAGATGGGAGCTTTATTTATCTTATGAGATTCGGCTTATGATACCATATAGATAGAGTGTGGTAATTGTATATTGATTCAATAACAGAGGATTACATACAGAGAGGGAACAACACAAGCTAATAAGGAAAGCCTAATTTACAAAAGATATGATCGAGGGATATACGATATAGACAAATGTATAAATAGGTTGCTGCTTTAGACTTCTAGATTCGATATAGACAAAGGTATAAATAGTTTGTTGCTTTAGACTTCTAAATTAAGAGGACCGACCCAGAACTTAACCTTGAAATATGGTGTCTTCCCTATGGGCTAATGACGAACCTATTACCACTTCTGTAATCGTAAACTCGTTTGCAGTCTATGGGTTCAAACAAAAGATCAAGCTTCTACTCATGTATCTAGAGCCAATGCATTTTGTTTTCACTACGAAATCTATAGTTCTGAGCTAACTGCACAATCATGGAGATTCCATATCTGAGATTGGAGTTGTTGCTCTGATCATAAGGCTTTGAATGAAAGCTATTGTCTACAAAGTCGAACAAACGAGTGAACTTTAGTGAATGTAAATTGAAAAGGCAACAAGGTAAAGAAAAGTATGTTACCATGGCAAACCCCGCAATCATGATACTGAACCCTGGGAAATCAAATGGTGCTCTTTCGGAGAGAAACCAATCTACAAGAAGCAGAAGCAAAGTATAGGTGTGTTAGTAAGTTAGTAGCACATGTTGCATTTCTCTATTCCTTAAGTTTAAGTAAATAGTGAACCTGTTAGAGGTGAAAATGCCAGTGGAGAAATGACATTAGCAAGAGAACATATGCTTGAAATTATCCCTTGAGCCTTCCCCTGAATATGTTTCCAAGTGATGGAGTTTTGAATATTCTGTTTATGTATCTTACACTGCAAGTACTTTGGGATTGTTAAACAAACAACTAATGAACTTACCTGTTCATATGATGCTACTTGTTTGGAGACGATGCTCCTCATCTGCAAAGTTGAATTACTTGATTAACATATCTTTCAAAGATATAACTAAACAATAAACTCAGAGACTAAAATGTAAACTTACACACGACCCAGGAAATATAGAGACAACTGTAAACAAGGCGGCTATATATGGAACCTGCAAGTTTCAAAATCTTTAGCCAGTAAGTGATGTAGAGGCAATAGTGCTCATAAATGCCAAATGATATGACAAAGACAAAAGTGATAAACATTTTCTTGAAAGGTTAGAGGTAATACCCACGAGGACCATGCCACACTGATTAAGAACATCTGCACAATTGGAGAAGAAAACATAAGAGAAAGAAGGAGAAAACAGATAAGGACCGTAAGTAGGAGAAGTGTTTTTACATGGGCACATCCAAAGAAAAGACCAATTGAGAGTAGTCTCTCCTCTTTTAAAACAGGAACTAGAATGGGCATGAAGAGCAACTGTGACAGTTTATTTTTTTTGTAAGTCAAATATTTAATCTGAAAATAAAATTGAGGTTCAATAAGTTAAGTTGTTTTCTACCTGTGAAATAGACCCAGCGGCTCCGACTATGATCATCAAGTCTGCAAACTGGTCCTTGTTAAAGTGAAACTTGGCCTTTAGATAGTACTGCATGAAGCAAAAACCACAAATAGTTTCATTTTTCTAGAAACAGTTTTGAGAATGCATATAATGATATGCTAAACCGCAAAAAGGTTCATTGTTTCCAAGTGCTACAATCATATTCTTCAATTTTTTGTCCTTTACTAGCATTTTTTTAAAAACATGTTTTAAGTGTTATTTATGTGAAAAGAAAACATAGCTTTAGCCTCCTACCATGGATGAAGCATGTAGACCTGCCTCACCAAGACTAGTGAAGAATGATACTACGGCAACTTGAGAAAGTGGAACACTGGAAAATAAAAACACAAGTCAGAAATCCATGTAATATGCTGCATCCGGATGAGGAAACAAACGAATGGGCCTTATTCGCGACGAATGAATTAATGAGACAAATTATTGGACCTTATTTAAACAGTCTTCTAATTCATTTCATTAATCATGAATCTTCTAAACTTCAAAAATAATGAGTTAACTTAAAACAAAAGGAATGAAAAAGAGTAACACACCTGCTCCTCATTAAAGAGGCCATGTCACGAACCGA